GTTGTTATATCTACCACATGGAGGTGGTGGATATTCCCTGGGTTTTGGGGGCTGAACACTATGGAGCTGATCAGTGGAGGCAGCAGCTACACCAACATCTCATGGGTCCTGGGCCGGGGCTCCTGGCCAGCTGGTGCTGCTGTTAGGGCAGGAACTTAGAGCAGGAACAAGGCGGTGGCCAGGCTGGGAACCAGCTGGTCATGCCTGCTGCCTTATTTTCTAATACCTCCCACAACAGGCTCACTAGTTGTTTCAGGGTGTGCTGTTTAACATCCACATATTTTTGAATACCAAAGTTTTTCTTCTGTTGTTTTCCAGTTCCACTTCTCCATGGCTAGAGAAGATTCTTTGCAGAATTCAATCTTTTTATATTCAATGAGATTATTTTGTAGCCTAACCTATGGTCAGTTCTGGAGTTTACTAGACATACTTAAAAAGGATACTTAAAAAGTGTCCTATCACTGAGCTTTTCCCTGCAGCCCTCTCTGTACTTCTTTTGTGGAAGAGTCTCATTAAGCTGCTCAGAGCTTAACCATCAACCCTTTCCAAACCTTTGCCTCTCAAGGACCTGAGATTACAGCCCAAGGCCAACAAGCACCACTGAAAACTATTCTTACTGTAATGAAAATTCTTAAAATCCCTAAAGGAACTAAAAGATGGTTTAAAATTTTATTTATATGCTTTTTACAGAAAGTTCTATTTTATGAAAATATCCAAAGTGATGAATATGTACTGTGGGGAGCAGATGGAGTCCTGAGTGGATATTATTGACTTGAGCTTGGTCATGTCAAGGACCCTAATGCCTCAGAAGACGGAAATGGAGGCAAAGCCTTTTCCAGATCAGGGTCAGAGGAATGGCCAGGCCTTTTCCTGGTCAGAGTAAGCATGTTTACAAATGGCTAACCTTAGATAAAGCCAATGTTTGTAGAAACTATCAAAGACAGCTTCCAGGATGACTGAAACCTGAGACTGCTCCCCTACTGAGCTCAGCTAAACCCTTCTGCCTTTGCTATTGTGTTGTAAAGTGCCAGGTTTCCCAGCTGCTGCTGCTGAAGATGTTAAAGGGACTCTGGAGAATGGCAATCAGAGCTCTGGCAGGCCTAGCCCTTCCCCATTCCCTCTGCCTTGCTAAAACCCTTTAGATTACATTCCTAAAGCTAGCATTTATTTGGCCACTTCCTCTTTCTGAAGTTGACTACCAAGGTCTAGCCATCAAAATATTGGAAGTCCAGCCATCAAAAGCTCCCTTTGGTTTGCCTAATTAACATGCCCAATTAAAATTAAACACCTCATCCTAACACTGAGTTTCCCTCCTTCACCATTTGCCTACAGGCCACATTGTCTCCTCTCCATCAAGAGGCAGAGCTTTCCACCACCTCCCCTTGGTCTTTTCTCTTTTTCCTTGTCTTTTTCTCTTATTCCCTGCCCTCTTTCCCTCTGGAGCAAATAAATCTCCAATGTGCTGAGAACTAGGTGATGGATGTCTTGTGGTGATGCTTGTCCCTTTAGGTGTGTCTCCATTACCTCTGCCTCCAGCCCAGTTTTCCTGTTCTTGATTCCCTATCATTCTAGCGCAGGTCACAGCAATGTGGTAAAACAGAAGCCTTAGTGAGAACACATGATTCCAACTCTATTGGAGGTGTAAAAAGTCTACAAGCATGCATTGATACTGTGACATCGTCACACACAAGTCACACAAAAAAAAATGTCTATGAAGCTAGTGGACAATCACATCAGTGACCTATTTCCAGCTCCTTCAGCCAGAAATGCTCCAGCCTTTGTTGGCCTAACTCCTACTTTTACTTTAAGACAAAGGTCCTCCAAACCATGATTTCATGGGTCAGTGGCATTTTGAAAAGAACTATAGAACTGATAATTACTCTTTTTTTTTTTTTACATTATCAAAGATACAAAACCCAACAACTATTTCCATTACAGTTATTATCACCTGATATCATAATCATTGTAATATTCATCTATTCATCAAATGATGTGGAATCTCAGAATACAAACAATATTGGCCCTAAAAGGTAAATGCATATACCAAAGATAAGTAGAATAACGCTAGAAAGAAAAGAATGCTGTGTGGGTTAATGTTGATCCTGACTTTGGCTGGATGATGCCCTTCTTCTAGGTGTCTTTGTAAGAGCAGCTGTGATTCAGACAGATCATGAAGGAAGGCTCTGTTCTAACCCATGCATCAATCCTTTGATGGATTTACCAGGAAGGTAGTGGAAAGAAACAAGTGGGGCCTAGTTGGAGGGAGGAAGGCACTGGGAAAGAGCCATATTCTTGAGGGCTGTCCTAGCCTGCTCACATCCTACACTGCCTCTTCCAGTTCCTGAAGGAAAGTAAACAGTTTCTTCTTATGCTCCCACCATGATGTTCTGCCTCATCATAGGTCCAGAATCAATAAACCAAGCTCTATTAAGTGGGATTTCTAAAATACTGACGCAAAATAATTCCTGCTCTTACCATTATTTTCTCAGGTATTTTGGTCACAATAGTAAGAAAGCTAAGCAAAATCAATGCCTAAGACTTCTAGGATGCACTCTAGTTCTATAAGGAATAAAATGAAAAATGATATTAAAAAGAATAAACCTTTTTTGAGGCCCCCTAGCATACAGAGGCTGAAGCCAGGCCATCTGTGCTCCAGGAACTTAGCCGACCACAAAAGGGTGGAACCAAGAATGCAGGTCATCTGGTTCATAGGCTTTGGGCTCTGGGTTCTAGGAACTGGTTGACCATAAAGAAAATACCAGTCATCTGGGCTGTTCCAAGGACTGGCTGGCCACATGACAGATGATTAAACAAGATTAAATTCTTGAAAAAAAAAATAAGTACACAGGGTGTTTCCCACATGATCGAATGGGCTGGGGGACTTTCCACTGTTTTTATGATACTGTCTGCTGATGTTTTTATGATTCCCCCTTAACCCCCCTGGTTTGTGGTTTTTCTCTTTAAATACCCTTCTCCCTCTGGCCTGGAGGTCAACATTTCTCTTGTGAGTTTCGACCTCAGCCGGCTGATATCCCCAAATAAAGCCTTTTGCGGTTTGCATCAAGTTCGGTCTCTTGTGAGTTTCTGGGTGGCTGTAATCTCCCGTGACCTGAGTGAGGGTCTCCCCTCGTGGGGGTCTTTCAATATCACAGATGATTGTGGCTTGGAAGCCAGGCCTGGGAGCGAGTGTGTCAGCAAAAGATAAGCAAGGTAAGCACGTAATGTAGTAGTATACCCTTAATTGTAATTGGCTGAGAGGTAACCATGGCAACTGAACCCAAGCTGTCTGTGATAAAACTCCTGTCTCTGTTTTAATTGGTTTAAAGTAGCTTAAAAATTCCGGTCTAGCTCATGCAAAATTAATTGCCCCTGCAGCCCCATGGAGATGTTGTCACATTGATGTCACATTGAGATCCAAGCCCACTCCCCAGGTAGCCTGTCACCAAACAAGAAAGTCTGAATTCCCTCTCATCAGTCTACAAGGCTGTTCTCGCTGGTCTGAAAGGCACTTACGGACCAAGTTCCACCTGAACCAAGGCCACATCCAGGATCTATTTCCAGCCAAGCCAAATCGCAGGCGGACACATCGGGAACCTTACCTGCACCACTGAACACCGGGCCAGACCAGAGGTTGGTAAAGAGTGTGTGTGTGCGTGCGTGTGTGTAAACGAATGTGATCCCATTTCGCTATTTGTTTGTATATAAATAAAGAAGCTAATGCGACCTTTACTCTGAGTCTGAGATTTTTCTCTGACCACGGTCTCAATTTGTGACAGTTTACGGCGTTTTGAGACAAGTTCTTCTGAATTACATTAAAAAAAAAAAAAGATCAGAGTTCATGCCTCTTAGAGCAGAGAAGACTGTTTACTTGCAAACACTGACACTAAGTCACTATGGCTATGGCTAAGTCTGCCTCATGACTGATTCACTGAATAGCACATGTAGTAAACAAGTATTAAATCACGATAAAGTGCAGAGGACAAGTTAGTAATGCATGTTTTGAATAAGTTGATTACAGTTCTGGTGAGGAAACAGATGTGTGAGTCAGCCATCAAACCAAGCTACAGTTATTACAAGGATTCTGAAGCAGTACAAAAAGACAAGACTTTCTAAGATGCATTCAGTTGATTCTGACATTCTCCTCAGCGACTGTGAGACCATCACTGTGCTAGGAATTGCTGAACACCATGAGGTGTGAGCTTACACATGTATTTATATACACCAGGAGCAGGAACTACAGATGACAAAGATAAAACAGGAGAGAGGAAGTGTTCCATTCAGTGTTACACAGCTAGTAACTGCCCAGTCTAGAATTTAAAACTAGGTCATCTAGTCAGAATTAGCCTCTCCTGGATCATTTCTAAAGCAGGTAGGTGGCATGAGGATTAATCTTGACGGTCAACTTTATGGGCTTTAGAACTACCACAGGAACAAACTTTGGTGCATGTTTATGAGCAAGTTTCTAGACTGGGTAAACCTAGGTAGAATAACACCCACCCTAAATGGAGTTTCAGACTGAATAAACAGAGAGGGTGTTTACCTCTGTTTGGGTAATGAGTCCCAGTGTTCATCTCTCTCTACTTCCTGACTGCAGATGCAAGATGACTTTAAGATCCTACAGTTACACCATCCTTGCCATGATAAACAATACCCCTCAAACTGTCAGCCAAAATAAATGTTTCTTTCCTTAAGTTCCCTTAGCTAGATACATTGTCACAAGAAAAAAGTGACAGATATTGGGAGTCTTGGAATCTTATTACACATGTATGCAGACTACCAGGCCATCTTGTTCAGGTAGGCAGTCCTTTGTGAATTCCTACTCTTCACTGAACAACTGAATGTGATTAGCAAATGTGTATCAGCTTCCTACTGGTAAGAATTAAGAATACTAGATTGGAAGCATAGGTAGTTTTCATTCTTCACCAAAGAGATAATGAGCTAACACTCCTATTAATTTTACACAGAAGAAAATTATTAGGAGTCATAAATATCAACAATACCTTCAGTCCCTCCAATTCATTTTCCAGTTGCTTAGAATAATGTTCGCTCTGCTCCCGGAGCTTTCTGTCCTTAGATGCTTCAGCAATTAGAGCTTCAGTGTGAACTTCCAGCTTTAACATAAAAGGAAATGTACAGGGTTCATGGTTAGTTTTTGAAAGTACTTTTCCAAGGGAATTTATAGCTTGAATGGCAAGATTCACAGTAGTTAATAGTACCAAGCTACAAAATAACTTTTTCAGAACTTAAAGACTGGAATGCATATTACTTCACTAGTCTAAGTGTACTTTAAAGCACTACTCCAGAAATACTATAGAATTTGCCTAGCTACTGACCTCTTTCTTGGCTCTTTCTGCTCTGCGCAGCTCCTGCCTTAAGCTCTCAGCTTTTTGCATCACCAGGTCCACCTCTTCTTCCTTATCTCGGACATGGCGAGCAAGTTTCTGCTTTTGGGTGTGCAATTCTGTTAGTCGCTCATTGATCTCCATGAACTCCTGCATGGCCAGTTTCCTCTGACAGTGTGCATCTTTCAGCTCTTTGGATTGGTTTTTTAATCGCTCACTAGCCTGGACTAGATCCTACAGTTTTATAAAAAAAAAAAAATACATGTTACCAAATCTGCAACCTAGAGACCAAATTTGGCCATCAAAGTAGCTACTATTAAGTTATGAAGAGCCAAAATTATTAATCTCAGGACAATACTGAAGGAAACGGACTACTTCTAAAGACAGTAAGGGAATGCAATAATGGATTGTTTACCTTCTCAAACTCTTTTTTTTTTTTTTTGAGACAGGGTTTCTCTGTGTACTGTCTCTCTCTGTCTCCTGGCTGTCCTGGAACTCACTCTGTAGACCAGGCTAGCTAGTCTCGAACTCTCGAACTCAGAAATCCGCCTGCCTCTGTCTCCCAAGTGCTGGGATTAAAGGTGTGCGCCACCACCGCCCGGCTCTCAAATTCTTGTTTAAAGTTTATTTGTACTTATGTGTATGTGTGCTTAGTCTGCATTATGTATGTGCACCATGTGCACACAGAACCCGTGGAGTGCAAAAGAGGGCTTCAGAACCCATGGAACTAACATTATAGGTAACTGTTAGCTCCCACATGGGTGCTGGGAACTTAACCTGAATCCTCTGCAAGAGCAGTGGTGCTCTTAACCAGTGAGCCATTTCTAGCCCCAACTCTCAAATTTTTACACTGACCTGGCAAGTGCAAAGATGCAGCTTAAGGAGTAGAATGTAGATATAAACTGTGATACTCAAGATCATTTGTAAAATTTAATAAATATTTGAGAGATTATTTTAAATTAAATTGAATAACTGCAAACAATAAACAGATGCCTTTTCTTACTGAGAAAAATAAGCCCTAGACAAATAACATGGAGAAAACTCCCTCAATCTTAGATTCCTGAGTTAGAGGTGCTCTGCAGACTCAGGTCAGTAACTCCCTGGCTCCCAACAGAAGGAAATATGCATCGCCTTTGGAGAAAGAAAATTTGGCTTATTCACACATTAACAGCAAATAAACACATCCACAGATTTCCAAAGAACCAAAGATCAAAACCACTATAAGGAACCAATGGCAACAACAGGAAACAAAAACAAGCACCAACAGTACTTGGGCCTCGTTAGAGTGGTATGTATGAGACAGGTGAAGAAATAAACGGGCGTCATTATAAACATTTGGAAATGAGAAAAGGCTAATAAAAACTATTACACAGGTGTTTTAAAGAATCTGAAAGACATTTAGACATGAAAAATACGTACATATATACATATATTATAGGAATCTTTATATTTATAAATCAAGAAAAGGAAACCTAAACCAATAACTGTGTAAAAATGAAACTAGGTAGCACTATAAAAATTAAAATCTCCAAAGAAATTTGGGGCTAGAGAGATGGCTCACAGTTATAGCTCATGACCACCTGTAACTCTAATTCCAAGAGGAATGATGTCCTCTTCTAGCTTACTGGGCACCATGCATGCAAATGATGCTGGCAAAACACCCATCCATGTGAAATGAAAAATCAATCAAAGAAAAAAATTGGGTTGAGGCAGTGCGATAGCTCGGTGGGTAAAGGCACTGAGTTTGATCCCTGCGTCCCACAAGGTGGAGAGAACTAACTTCTACAAATTGTTAATCTGACCTCTACACCCACACCACAACACATGCACATATGTGCACATGAATATTCACATGTGCATGCATATATACACACAAAAATGTAATAAACCTTTTCTTAAAAAATTGGGGTGGGTGGAAAAAAATCAGTTATATTCTGCTCTCAGAAAAACAAAAAATAGAGAGTCAAATTCAGAAGACACAAGTAGTATCAGAAAGAATAAGAAAACTTTCTAAGAGACAAGAAATTAATACTGTATACTCAGAAAAATTACTTCCATAGTATAGCGAAAACTGACAGAGCTAGAGGGAACTCTACAGCTTTATCTCAGATGAAGGTTTGAAACTGAAACTGAAACACACAGCAAACCGAGGACTAAGAATCTCAGACACATGGATGTGAAAAAATGTCATATATCATATTAAATGTCTGATTTACAGTTACTAATAAATATACATACTAAATTCTGTGTAGACTGCACATAAGATTGGAAAGAAGTAGCTCTTGAGAAATTTCTCAAGAGGCCCTGAGAAATTTCAGTGACTATTTAATATATTTAGATTTTGTTAATATGGATAGTAGAATTCAAATACCAAAGACCAGAGCTAGTGGAGCATAAAATAAAAAATAACCAAGCAAAACAAAAAGAATTATGGAGACTTGGTTTCATGGAAACACACAGATACTTAACCCTGAGGAATTATGCCTCAAAATGGTTAGAATAGGAAATGTGTATTTTAGGCTATGTACAATTTTAGCACAATTAAATTTTGTTTTTTAAAAAAGACACAAAAAAGGACAGTATGACAACTAAAAAGCAAAAAAATGTGACATTTGTATTGCACATGGATATAAAGGGCCAAACTCAGCAGATAAAGGTGATGTGTTATACCAGATAAGCAAAATGTAGACCTGAGCAGAAAGACCACTGTTAGGGATAGAGGACATTACCAAGCAACCGCATCACTCAGCAGGAGGCCAAACAAGTCTAACATTTAGTAAACTCTAAACTTAGGGCAGGGAAGTCTTAAAGGACATTAAAAAGAAACTGCCCAAACTAGAGAACATTAGAAAATCAAATCAATCAGTACAAGAATTTCAATTTCTTTCTTTCTTTTTCTTTTTTTTCTTTTTTTTTTGGTTTTTCAAGACAGGGTTTCTCTTTATAGTCTGGGCTGTCCTGGAACTCACTCTGTAGATCAGGCTGGCCCTGAACTCAGAAATCCGCCTGCCTCTGCCTCCCAAGTGCTGGGATTAAAGGCGTGCGCCACCACCGCCCGGCTAGAATTTCAATTTCTTAATCATTAATTATCAAGAAAGCAGAACAATGCCTATAAAAAACAACCTGAAATAGACCCCATACCTGGGAGGGTTAGAGGCAGTTTGAGGTTACCCTGGTTAAGGCCCTGAGTAGAAGGTAATCCTGGGCTACACAATGGGGCCTTGTCTTACATCCCTCCCCTGAAAAAGGGCTTGAAAAATTCTAATAAGTTGTGTGTGTGTGTGATAAATTTGCACCCTGTTTTAGAAATATATACTCTTTTCAATAATATACACTAAATATTTTTAAAAATAACACTAAAGCCTAAGCCATGAAGCCAAGCTCAGTAAATTTCAAACAGATACACAGGTGACATGCTTCAAGGCACAGCTATGAAATAAAAAATCAATGGGAAATGATATAATTACGGACAGTGAAAGCTTCAAGATGCACTTATAAAAAAATCACTTGTTAAGGAGGAAAATCATAAATACAAAAAATAGTCAAAACTAAAAACTTTAAAAAACAACAACACTTTCATTTATACTAAAATCTGGTGCTCTAGTAAAGCCATATGGGAAACATGTAGTCTGAAATAGAAAGGAAAAGAGGCTAGAGTTCACAAAGTTCACATAAGAAACAGAGAACCTTTCTCATAAAAAGAAAGTACACTGCTTCACTCATTCCGAGACCAGCATGACCACATATTTAAAAAGCCAGGAAAAGTAAAAGAAAAGAGTGTAAGCAAATTTAACTCATAGATTAAAAAAACCTTTTTATGAGGAAATCATTTCCAGGGATGCTTAAAATTCCTAGACATGAGCTTTTGAGTTGGACTCAATATAAAAATGTTAGCTCTGCCTCCTTCTATCTCTAATGACCCTGGGCAAGCTAACAGCTCAGTATTCAGTCTCATTATGAGTCAAACAAGAATAATAAAACAATACAGAACTCATGGGTTGTTGGGAAGATGAAACTTTATATATATATATGTATATACATACATATATATAAACATATATATGCCATATGATAGCATAGATCACATTTATGTCAAAGATTGTTTAATAGCATTGTTTTAAGCACCATCCGTGTGTGTGTGTGTGTGTGTGTGTGTGTATATATATATATATATATATATACACACACACATACATATATTATACATACAACAATTATATATATATATATACACACACACACACACACACACACACACACACACATGTGGATGGTACTTAAAATGGTGCTACTAAACAATCTCTGATATAATTGTGATCTATGCTATCATATTATCATCAGGAAATAATACATGGGTAATTTGGACTCAGAAGTGTGTTTCGTATATAAAAAAAAACTCTATTAATTCAATTTGGCATATATTTTAAAAGTAGAAACAATCATATAAATGATGTATAGGAATGAACAGTGCATAAAGTCAAAAACTCATTCTTAATAGTAAAAATTGAATAGCAAAATAAAAATAAAAAGTAATTCCCTTAATCTACTGGAAAATATTTTACTAAAAAAACATACACAACAAGCATTAGTGGTAAATGTTAGAGGCATTTTCTTTAAAATCCTCAGCACATGGGCTGGGAAGATGGCTCAGAGGTTAAGAGCACTGGCTGCTCTTCTAGAGGTCCTGAGTTCAATTCCCAGTACCCAGATGGTGGCTCACAACCGTCTATAAAGAGATCTGGTGCCCTCTTCTGGCCTCTAGGCATACATGCAGGCAGAATGCTATGTACACAATAAATAAATCCTTAAAAAAATGATCAACAAAAATGCATGTTCTTACTATTTCAATTCAGCATTATACTGACGTCCCAGCTAACACAGTAAGCTTACAGAAGATGGAAACCACAAGAACCTAAGTTAGAAACAAAGTTGTTATTATTTGTAGAATTTTGAAATTTTGAAAAGAACTAAAACATATCCTGTTAAATAGAATCCGGCAGTGTTGAACCAGACTGCTAATAAAAGTCAAAAACAAAAGTCATAAAATTTAACAAGATTTAAAATATGAAATAATTGAATAACAAATTTAAGGAAAGGCAAAACCTTTCATTAAAGAGTGCATTGCATTACATTTCTTTCTTTTCCTTTGCCTTCCTTCCTTCCTTCCTTCCTTCCTTCCTTTCTTGTTTTGGAGACAGGTATCCCTGGATGACAAGCTTGAATCTCTTATCTTCTTGCCTACAGCCTGCTTATGCTGAGATTCCAGTCATCAGCATGTTTGTTAAAGCAGTGCTGGGGACTGAACACAACGTTCCATACATGCCAGGTAAGCACTCTACCAACTGAGTGCTTTATCAAATTTAAATAATTTTAAATATAAGAGATAAATATCACATTTATGTTTTAAAAGACCGTGTCACTGGTCAGAAACATCTTCATGTTTTACACAATGAGATCATCTGAACAAATGTCACTAAAACTGGGGCCTTTCATAAATGTGAGCCATAGAATGTAATTCATAACAAATTTCAATAGTGAGAAAATTCCATTTACGTTCTGAAGGCATTTCAAGGTTGCACATGCCCTGGACTATGGGAACATATTTTGTGAAGCTGGTCATTTGAGGATTAACTAAGGTCTAGAATAGTTAATTTTTATTCCAAAGGCACAGGGAAGAGGTCCAAGACATTTATTTCTCTTCAGACTCTGCAGTAAACTCAGACAAAAAGGAGTAGGGAAGCAGTACTACTCCTTTCTCCTATGTTAATCCCTGAATAAATATTTTGGAGGTTCCTCTTCTTTTATATAGACCCCTCACTTAAAGGGCAGTATCCAGTTATTTCTCAGGGCATTGCATAGGAGATAAAAACTGATATAGAGGAACTGTAGTGGCTTGAATAGGTTTGGACCCCCCACGACTCGTGTTTGAACGCTTTGCCTACCTGGAGGAGCGCTATTAGGAGGTATGGCCTTGTTGGAATTGGTGTTGCCTTGTTGGAGGAAGTGTGGCACTGTGGGGTGAGCTTTGAGGTCCTATGCTCAAGCTCCACCCAGTGTGGCAGACAGTCCCCTCCTGGCTGCTTTTGAATCAAGATATAGAACTCTCAGCTCCTTCTCCAGCACCATGCCTGCCTGGATGCTGCCATGCTTCCCACCATGATGATGATGGACTGAATCTCTGAACCTGTAAGCCAGCCCCAATTAAATGTTGTCCTTTATAAAATTACCTTGGTCACTGTGTCTCTTCACACCATTGAGAACTCTAACTATGATAAGAACCTTATGGCTATTTATCTATTAAATACAAATAAAAGTAACAATCTGCCATGCTCTTGTTTATATGTATAATCAAAATAATAGACATATATGCACTTTGATATAATGTAATACAATTAATTCTTTTGTAATTGATCAGTGATGAAATACAATTTCAATCAAAATTCTATCAGTTTTCAAGGACTACAAACTAATGTAAAGAGAATTTCCTATATGACAGAGGTGCCATTGCACAACTGGGAATAGAACAACTATTCTGTACACAAGTAACTGGTTAGCCATATTGGAAAAAGGAAAATTGAATTCTTATCACACACTGTTAGGCAGCTAGTAAGGTTATTAGCAGGTTTGGAGTTCAAAAGGAACAAACTCCTACTGCATAGCCAGCGGCAGTATTTTTGATCACTGGTCAAAAATTGAGCTCTAAGTCATATCTCTAGCCCTGGTTGGGTGGATACACATTTAGAATTTACAAGACTATTGTCTGGGTAAAGGCCTTCAAAAACAACAACAACAACAAAATAACAAAGATATATTACCATCCTTTTCCATAAGAGCTGATCCAAATGGCCTGTCAATCACCTAGACAATGAAACACCCCTTAGAAAAAGCTGTTCAAAAGACTTTGAAATGGTATAAAGCCTATCTAAGTATTAGAAAGACACAGTGGCCTCTTTGATCACTGTGAGCTCTCATCCCTTGAGACTTGCAGTGCTCTATAAAGGTCTCTGCAGCCGCTGCTGACCTCGCCCCTTGAAGGTATTCTACTTTGTGCTACAGTAAACTCCACCTATTTTCCACCTTATGCTTTGTGTGTCTCTGTCTCACTGGAATCCTTTCCACAGTGATCACAAGGACCAGGGACCAAAAGGAGCACTGAGTACGATCCCAATAGCAAAATGGAAGCCAAAGTGAGTTTCTAGTGTTTAGAGAGATCAAAGAGCAGACATTAAAAAGTAAGGATAAAATTTAGGAGTTTTTTTTTAAACCTCTGATTTCCTAATAGTGTATGAGCCAGCAAATATACTAATTTAAATATATTGACAAATGTACATTACACCCACAAGCTTTGGTTAGTCAAAGAGTGTACAGAGAAAAGCCACTGACAGATGTCTTAACCTGTGCATTTAATGAAAGACATTGGAAAATTTCAAGATTTCTTATAAATATCAAAAGTCAGTCAAACAGAAAAACATGTAAAAATATAAGACACTTTGTAAAAGAAATATCATAAAATGATGAATGGACATGTGGTAGAGACACTTGACCATTGAAGAAATTAGACAAAGCCAACAAACTAGAAGAAAACCTCATGTTAGACCCAAGTCTCAATATACACAGGACTAAGAGAAACAGATGCAGCATATGAAACATCACTGAACACAGAAACTCCTGTACCATATGAAAGAGTATAAAAACTACAATACTGAAAAACGTATTAACATTACCATAAAAACAAGATATTTGCTAAACTAGTTAAAAATAAGCAGAGGGCCTAAATGGACAGTATTCCAAGGAAGAAACAGAAAAAAGGTCAACAGCTACATAAAGTTATTCAAGATGAACCAATCACCAAAGACATGAAAAATCAAACCAGAATTAGGTATCATTTTACCTCTGTCAGAATGGTTGTTATAAAAAAGACATAAAGCAAAACAAGCATTGGTTAGGACACAAAGAAAATGAATGTTTTCTCTTCACTGTAAACTGTTCTCCAAACGGCATCATTGTTTATTTATTATAAGCTGCTGCTTCTCAACAATCATGTCTTTTCAAAAGACTTAGAGAATTTTTAGCATGAAAATGTACTAAAACTTGCCAAAAATTGCTCCGAGAATTCAAGATACCAGATATTTATGTTTATTATGTTAACTAAATTTGATTACATAATAATACCAATAAATAAAATTCATAAATCACTAATATTACTACTTATTACTATAGGAAAGAGAACTGCTGCCATAAATGCCAAATGCTACTATGTGAGCCTGCTTCAGATGTATCTATATAAACCAAAACTCAACAATATGTGGAAAACAACCATGTACTCATCTAATTCAATTTACTCTATAACAGGTCCTTTATCAGCATAAGGTTATCTTATTTCTAACTGCATTTCCTTACTGATAATAATACATAACCCTAGAAAACTTCATTCTATAGTAATCAGTATTTTGTATATCAAACCATTAAATATAATGTATACTGTAATCTGAACTCCTGGTCTCTCAACTGCATAGGCCACCATTATTCCCAACTTTTGTTGTTGCTAATGAAATCTACAGTACTTCCCAATATGTGATTCAAGTTTTTTTCCTACTGCTTAAATATTATCTTCTCAATCGTGTTGTTACAAAATCTTAGTTATGAATACATTTTGTTGCTATATCTAGTACCATTTAAATGTTACATAAAGTTCTTATGAAAATTACTTTAGATTTTTTTCCCATGCTACTTTGAAAAGGATGATATTTAAAGAAGTAAACCATGGAAATGATTTTAAATTATAACCTATTAGTGTTTATATGAGTAAGTTATAATGAAAATACACAATGAACAGATATGTGTCAAAGATACATGATCACATTAGAAATTAGAAAATATAAATTAAATTACAATAAAATATCACTTAAGACCTAAAATCTGTATTTAAAATTGTTATAGACATTAGAGTCTACTATTTTTTATTTTTTTGTATCTTTTTCAGTTATATTCCCAAGTCTAGATTTTAACTTTCCAAATGAACAAAAGATTTTGCACTTTAAAGCCTCAAGAATTTGAGTTCTCTTACTGCTAGCTAGTGAAGAATGTTATACACCAAAATGATTATTAAAACATGTAGGGAGTTGAGAGATGGCTCAGTGGTTAAGAGCACATACTACTCTTGCAGAGCAGAGGATCCATGCTCAGGTCCCAAGCACCCATGTTAGGCAACTTACAATTGCTTGTAACTCAAGTGGCAGGGTACCCAATGCCTTTGGCCTCAACAGGCACATGTATTTAGGTGCACATACTCCTACGTATACATACATATACACACAGTTAAACATAAAATCAATCTTTAAAAAATGTTAAACTAGGGCTGGTGAGATGGCTAAGCGGTTAACTTAGCTATTACTATTCAGGAGGTCATGAGTTCAAATCCCAGCAACTACATGGTGGCTCACAATCATCCATAATGAGATCTGATGCCCTCATATGGGTGTCTGAAGATAGCTACAGTGAGCGGGCCCTGAGCAAGCAAGGACGAGGGTGAGTGGAGCCCAGAGCGAGCAGGGAGAAGGAAGGGGTTGGAATGAGAGGGGCCAGAGCAAGAGGGAGAAGAAAAGGGAAAAAAATTAAACTATCATTTTAGGTTAGCATGAAATTTTCAGTTCAAATTTTTATAGAAAAATATATATTGTCATTTATTAGGACTACTTCTAATATTCTAACTATAAAAGATGAAGCATGTACAAACAGCTTTAAGGATCCAGTCATATATGCTTACCTTATTTAGTTCTTCTCTCTCCTGCTGCAAAGTTTTGATTTGCTTTTCAAAAGCTTTGATTTGCCTAAAAGCGTCATCTAGTTCTCGTCTCACAGAATTAGCTTCTTCAAGTTGTTTTTCCAAATGATTTACTTCTTTAAAAAAAACAAAAAAACAAACAAAACCCCACTTTAATTCAGACATACAGTCTAAGCAAACGAAAAGCAGAATACTGATATGCCGAGCAAGTAATAGCAGTATTTATCCAGAAATAGCAGTTAATTTTTATTTCCCCCATCTTTTGGATTAAAATATTGGAAATTTCACTTCATTTGGGAAAATTATATAAGACAGATTTAGCATACTCTGAGTAAATTGATAAAGATTAAGCAACTGGAGAATTACTACCAAATAAATTTTTTTTTCCTAAAAGCAAAATTATTATTAAACAACTATTTCAAACTAACATATAAAATGAACACATAATTTATTAAATTCAAGACATACATTCAACTTGTGTAAATTATATACAGTATTTTTAAAATGGTCTATTCGAATGGTTCTATACCTCCATAATGCTGTGACCCTTTTATACAGTTCCTCATGTTGTGGTGACTACAACCATAAAATTATTTTTGTTGCTACTTCATGACTATAATTTGGCTACTGTTATGAATCATAAAATAAATACTTTTAGAAACAGGGGTTTGCCAAAGGACTCGCGACCCATAGATTAAAAACCACTGCACTAAGGCCTTCACCTCACCAAAACTGCTCCACAGAACTACCTAACTGCTGACCAAATAAATAATCCCAATTATTAAATTACAGTTTAAGTTGGTGAGACACTGAAAAGAAAATACATTAATCATTAATTGTAGTAAGAGAGTAATTTAAAACTTAAAATGCATTAGACTTTCCTGAGATAGAAAATTTTATGTATAAACTGAGACTCTCAGTTCTTAAAACTATGGTGTAGTGAGGAGTAAACCTGGGTTCCAAATGCAGAGGGAAAGGAGGGACTAGACATCTGTACAGCTGGTGGATGGATGGTCTAAGCAGAGTTAGTAACTCTCATAAGATGAAAAAGATGGAAAACTGTATGAACAGACTTAGGGGTAGGAGTAAAGGAAAAACACTAAACAGATGAAGAACCAGCCAAGGCTAGGTATGGTATGTAGCTGTAATCCCCGCACTTGGGAATCTGAGCCAGGAGGAGCTTTAGTTCGAATTGAATCTGGGCTATATGTTAAGTTTCAGTCCTGCCTGATACTCTGCATACATAAATACAAACATAAATACACATATACACTCACCACCCTGACACACACCAAAAATCCAACCTAAGGCAAAGCTGTAATACAACGAAAGCAATGAAATTCTCTGTAAGGACTTGGAGTTAAAAACAGGTATCTATAAATGTTGTTTTAAAGAATAAAATGGAATGGAGACTACAGAACTAATGCAACAGTTTAAGGAACAAAGCATCACTATTGAATTAAAAAGAAACAGAAACAAGTGTTCATAGCTAAGAGTGTTCCTCTGTTGTAGAGGGGAATGAAACAGCTAAATGAGACAGAGAAACATTACAATGCTCTGAAGAGGACAAGAATATTCACTACAAAGAGGATTGGTCTCTCTAAAGTGCAGAATTCAACAAAGGGAAAAGAAGTCATATTCAAATGCATAATAAAAATTTACTTTATGTACTGAGAAAGCTACTGATACATAACAAATACAAAACAAACCATGATTGATAAAATAAATGGATAATGAGAAATGTGTGAAAAAAGAAAAATGTGTGAAAATGTGTGCATATATGAAAAAAGTAAATAATCTAAATAAGCAAAAACTTATACCATGTTCATGGATTGGTAGACTCAATATTATTAGGTTATCAATTATCAAGCCAGGTGTGGTGGTTGATAATTCAAAAGCCTGAGATAATAATGGTTAACCTTTCTCATAAAAGCAAAAGGTATCAATTATCCTCATGTTGATTAGAGAATTATACTTGAAACTGGATATACTGAGCATATTGCCTAATAATCTGACTCCTATGTATTAGCTGAAGAGAAATGAATACTTATATTCACACATAAAATCCTAAATATAACTTCTTAGAGCAGCGGTTCTCACCTTCCTAATGCTGTGACCCTTATGAGAGCCAACAGTTCCTCATGTTATAGTGACCCCAACCATAAAATTATTTTTGTTGTTACTTCATAACTGTAATTTTGCTACTGTTACGTACACATCTGTATCTTCTGATGGTGTTAGGTGAGCCCTGTGAAAGGGTCATCGCATGCCCTGTGGTGGTTTAACTCTGCTTGGCCCAGAGAACGACACTATTAGGAGGTACGGCCTTGTTGGAGGAAGTGTGTTACTGTTGGGGTGAGCAATGAGACCCTCCTCCTAACCACATGAAAGCCAGTCTCCTCTTAGCTGCCTTCCCAAGAAGTAGTAGAGCTCTTAGCTCCTTCAGCACTATGCCTGCCTAGACTGCCATAATGATAATGGACTGAACCACTGAACCTGTAAGCAAGCACCAATTACATGTCCTTAATAAGAGTTGCCTTGGTCATGGTGTCTCTTCACAGCAGGGAAACCCTAACTAAACATAAGTTGGTACTGGGAACTGGGGTACTGCTGTGATAGGCCTGACCATGCTTTTGTTTGGAAGAATGTGGATCTGGGGACTTTGGATTTGGAAAGCCATGGAATGCTTTAAGTGGGGCTTAATGGGCCAACCTCGTAGGAATCTGGAAGATGGTGGTGCTGAGGTTGATTTGAACTGTGTAGGCCTGCTGGCCCCAGAGTTTACAATGGAGAAGAATGTTAGTATGTGGCCTACAGACTGTTTTTGTGATATTTTGGTGAAGAAGATGGTGGCCTTTTGCCATTGTTCAAAGAGTTCCCCCGAGGCTAGGGTAAAGAGATTTAGGTTAGATTATCAAAGCAATTGCTTTGACAAAGGAAGTCTCAAAACAGTCTGATAAATTCTGTTGTTTGGCTATTAAAGTTCTTATGAAGGGCATTTTAATTAAAAGGAGCAAGCTGAGAAAGGAAAAATATAAAATGTGTATTATAAAATATACATTTGTATATCAACATATAGAAAATATAAAATGTATATCAAGTAATAAAGGGACATCAGGAAGCGAAACTGAGCTGAATGTTATGTTCAAGGAGAAAAACAGATTAAGGGAGTATGGGGCAAGAGTCTACCCAGCTAAACTTAGGCCCAGGCATGATGGGTGGCACACACCTTTAATCCCAGGAGACAAAGTCAAGCAGATCTCTGAGTTCAAGGACAGCCTGTGACAGAACAAATTCTAGGTGAAAAAAAGCTTAAGTACAGGCTTGGCAGACACCTTTCATCCCAGTATTCAGGAGACAGAGCAATGCATATCTCTGAGTTCAAAGTCAATCTACAGAGCAAGTTCTAGAACTGTCAAGTTTAGACAGTGAGGAAGTTGGAAAACAGAAAGCTAGTAACAGAATAATGGGGTCCATGTTCCAGTCCCAGCAAGGAGCAGAACTTTGCAGCTTTGGCCATGTGGCTCTGGCTTTACAGCCAAGAATAGGAGGGACTACTGAGACAACTGATGCTGGTTAGCTGGAGCTAAGAAATTAGTGGTGATTAAGAAGAGACCAGCATCAATGAGGTGAAATCTTCTGGGAAGTGTTTCCTGAGAGCACAAAGAAGCTGTGTTCCAGAGATAGACAAGGATATATCTCGTACTGCAGCTGGACTTGGTAATGTGTAAATATCGCCCAGGTGATAATGGGTTTGAAGGCATGAAGGGGTCATGGAGAGCAGCTGAGGCTTGGCACTGTGAGAGGTCATGGAAGGCCTTTGGTGAAGGTGCAGCCTCATTTGCAGCTGACAGCCCAGGACTGAAGGGGTCATGCAAAGGAGCTGAGGTTTGGCATCATAAAGGTAGCCTATGAGAAGCTACTGGTGAAGCCAAGTTGCAGCAGAAGACCACAGGATACTGGAGATGCCATTACCATTGGATGACCACCAAGAACAGCAGCATCAATGGAGTGGAGTCAACCAGAGTTGAGAGTGCTACAGAGGGCAGAGCAGAAGAAGTGATGCCAGCCAGTTAGAGGAACCCAGAAGATCGTGTGTGGATCCCAGACATTGGAACAAGAAGCTGTGAAGTTGAAGCTGACTTGGAGACCCCAAAATGTAAGAGATGCAGAACCATGGGATACCTGCTGAGCAAAGCTGCTAAGAGTGGAACCAGCCCAAGAGAAAGAAGTTTGTTGCAGTCATCAATGCTGAAAGAAATTGGACATCAGACATGGAGATGCAGAGTTAGGAGTTTGACCAGATCGTTTCCTGTTTTGCTTTGGGGATTACAGTTAAGTGATAGGATGAATCTTAGAAAAGACTTTGACCTTTGGACTTGTAACACTATTGTGACTGCTATAAACTATAGGGGCGTTGGAAGTTGGACTAAATGTATTTTTTATTATGCTATGGCTAGGTATGACCCCCACAGACTCATGTTTTTGAACAAGCCTATGGGGAATAGGGAGTGGAATGTGGTGGTTTGAATACATTTGACCCAGGGAATGGTACTATTAGGAGGTGTGGCCTTGTTGGAGTAAGTGTGTCACTGTTGGGATGGATAATGAGACCCTCTTTACAACCACGTGAGAGCCAGTCTGCTCCTACCTGCCTTTGGAACAAGAGGTAGAATTCTTAGATCCTCCTGCACCATGTCTGCCTAGACATTCCCATGCTACCCACCATGATGATAATGGACTGAACTTCTGAACCTGTAAGCAAGCCCCAATTAAATACTGTCCTTTAAAAAGCTGTCATGGTCATGATTTCTGTTCATAACAATGACACCCTAACTAAGATGCCACCTAAAAGGGTCACAACCCACAGGTTTAGAACCACTAGTCCACTCTAGGATGCCAGTAATTCAGGCTATTGGGTTTTCATAGGAGATACCTGTCAGCATACTCCTTTTGGAGAAGGTCTCTTTAAGTATGCTATTGTGAAATGCTAACAATATGCTAAACATTTAAAGTTAGAAGAAATAAAGTACTTGGGGAGTCCAGTGCGTCACTGGAAGTGTATCTACCAACTCCACAAATACTAACATATTACTAAGTAAGTAATAAATACTTA